GTGGTATCAGAGCCCTAGGTTAAGAAACCCCAGGATTGTACATACATGTGTGACATCTGTAATCCACTGAATAGTCTAGTTTTATTTCAGTTGAAGGAAATGGCGCCTTGCCGTAGGCATGCTAATCAACCGGCACAACAGAATCAAGGATTTTTGGATGCCATGTATGCTGCCTTTCAAGGCATGGCCACAAGAGCTCGAAACGAGTGGCCGGGTAAGGATAGGAAGCAAGGGTACTTTTAGAAATTTAGGCGTGCGCATATCCCCTCGTTTAATAGTGAGGGAGGACCCCAGGAAGCAGAGTTCTGGTTAAACTCCATAGTCAAACACTTGAGTACTATGGGAGTCCCAGATGAATACTGGGTGGAATTTGCTGTGTACAAGATGGAGGGCTTATCGAATACTTGGTGGAAACAGGTCAAGAGAAGAATGGATGTTACAGGACTAACCTGGGAGCAATTTGAGACACTGTTCAATGAGCAGTACTTCCCTCAGAGTTATAGGGAGGAAAAAGCGCTGGAATTCATGTCTCTACTGCAAGGTGACATGTCTGTAAGGGAATATGAGGCCAAGTTTAATGACCTATCCCGGTTTGCGCCATCACTAGTGGAGTCTGAACCCATGAGGTGTCTTAAGTTTGAGAAGGGCCTCAAGAATTCTGTGAGGAGGTCATTGGTGGCCTTAAGGATTCGGAACTTTCGGGATTTGGTAGCTACTGCTACACGGGTGGAACATGATAACTTGGCCTATCACCAAAGCAAAGAGGCAACTGGTCGAGTCTCTATCTCTGGTAGACCTTCCATTTCAGGTGGACCACAGCGGAGTGGTAGGAGAAACCGCAACCAAGGACAAATGGTCGGGGAGATGGCAAGCGGTGGTAGTAGTTCGTCTGGAAGTGACAGAAATGCTCCGTACGGGCCCAGGTGTCACCATTGTGGGCAGGTGGGCCATATTAGGAGGAATTGTCCTAATCGGCCGCCGGCTCAACAAGCCCAAAGTGACGCTTCCTATAGTCAAGAAGGGCCACCACTGTACATGCCACCATATCAGTCACAACAGATGTCATACCCTCTTGTGCTGACTTATCAACCACCTCTACTTATACACAATTCCGGCCTCACGCGCCGAGACTGGTACAACCACCTCCGCCGCAACAGTATAGGCCTCCGACCCAGTGGCCTAATGTTGGTGACAAAGGGAAAGGAAAAGTACAGGGACAAGCTTATGCCCTGGCAGGAGGCAGTTCTGGAGGTCAGACCAGTAACGCGGTGGTTGAGGGTACGATTCTAATCTCTCATTCTTTTGCTCACGTGTTGTTTGACACGGGTGCCACACACTCATTTATATCAAGTTCTTTTGTTCGGGCTTTGAAATTGAAATATGAGAATTTAGAAGTCCCGATGACTTTGAACTCTCCACTGGGATGTGTGGAGGTAATGAGTATGTGTAAATCATGTGAAATCACGATTGGCGGTGAGCGATTGAAAGTATATTTGATTATCCTTCTGATGAGCCTGTTTGATGTGGTCCTCAGAATGGATTGGTTGTCAGAATACAGAGCAATTGTTGATTGTTACCGTATGAGAGTGACTCTGATGACTAAGTTTGGAACATTGATTTCTTATCAAGCAGATTTGAATCCAGTCTTAGGAGAACGACTATTGAAGTACAGTGTTGGGGGACAGAGGAATCTAGCATGTTTTTCTTCTCTTCTTGCTCTAGAAGGTGAACTTGAAGTAACTGGAGATAGTGCGGGAATCCCTGTAGTGGATGAGTTTACAGATATATTTCCTGATGAGCTATCTGGTTTACCACCAGATCGGGAAATTGAATTCTGTATTGATTTAGTTCCGGGAACGGCACCTATTTCCATTCCTCCATACCGGATGGCTTCGGCGGAGATGAAGGAATTAAGAACGCAGCTTGAGGAGCTGGCAGAAAAGGGGTATATCTAGAATAGTACTTCCCCTTAGGGTGCACCAGTGTTATTTGTGAAGAAGCACGACGGATCTCTTCGGTTGTGTATTGACTACCGTCAATTGAACAGGGTAACTATGAAGAACAAATACCCACTGCCAAGGATCGATGAATTATTCGATCAGTTGGGTGGATCACAGTTCTACTCTAAGATTGATTTGAGATCTGGGTACCATCAACTGAAAATCAAAGAGAAAGACATTTCGAATACTGCATTTAGAACTCGGTATGGGCACTTCGAGTTCCTGGTAATGCCGTTTGGGTTGACAAATGCCCCGGCTGCATTCATGGATCTAATGAACCGTGTTTTCCGGCCGTACTTGGATCGGTTCATGGTCGTCTTCATTGATGACATACTGGTTTACTCGAAGACTTGGGAAAAACATGCGCAACATTTGAGAATTGTTCTTCAGACTCTTCGAGAACACCAGTTGTATGTTAAGAAGGAGAAGTGTGACTTCTGGCTGACAGAAGTGAAGTTCCTTGGGCATGTGATCTCAGGACAAGGAATCTCTGTCGATCCTTCTAAGATCGAGACTGTGCTACAGTGAGAGAGACCGAAGAATGTAGCGGAGATTCGCAGTTTCCTCAGACTTGCAAGGTACTATCGGCATTTCGTGAAAGACTTCTCGAGTATTGCTGCACCGCTGACTCGGTTGACCAAGAAAGAAGTTATATTCCAGTGGGACGCTGAGTGTGAAAATGCTTTTCAGGAACTGAGGTCAGACTGACAAGTGCACTAGTCTTGACTATTCCAGATAGTGAGGAACCATATGAGGTGTATTCTGACGCCTCGGGAAGTGGGCTTGGCTGTGTCTTAATGCAAGGTGGACGCGTGGTAGCGTACACATCTCGCCAATTAAGACCACATGAACGGAATTACCCCACTCATGATTTAGAGCTGGCAGCGATAATATTTGCTCTGAAGATATGGAGATGTTATCTCTCTGGAGCAAAGTTTCAGGTCTTTTCTGACCATAAAAGTCTGAAGTACTTGTTTACTCAGAAAGACTTGAATCTCAAACAAAGGAGATGGGTGGAGTATATGGAAGATTATGACTTCACTCTACAATATCATCCTGGAAAAGCTAATGTGGTGGCTGATGCCCTTAGTAAGAAGACGACGGGGGCTCTGGCGTCGTTAGCTTTGGAAGATTGGAAAAGAACTGAAGTGGTGAGTGAGTATGATCTTCAGTTCTATGAAGATTATAACCAGGCTATGGTGTATAATCTGGTCTCTACACCGGATATTGTGCAACGGGTTAAGCAGAATCAATTGCAGGATCCACACCTCCAAGGAATTTGGATTCGAATCCAGAATGGAGAACAATTGGAGTATTGGAGAATCCGAGAGGATGGAGCCTTGTATTTCCGCAACCGCCTTGCTGTTCCCAAGGCAGGCGAGGTAAAGAAGACGATTCTGTAAGAGGCACACAAATCGAAGTATGCTATACATCCGGGAAGTACAAAGATGTACCAGGACCTGAAAAGACAGTACTGGTGGAGAGGCATGAAAAGGGACGTTCGTGAGTATGTCTCTAAATGTGTGACTTGCCTCTGGATTAAAGCTGAGCATCGGAAGCCGGCGGGAGAGTTGTAACCTCTTCCTGTCCCGGGATGGAAATGGGAGCACATCACCATGGACTTTCTGATGGGGCTACCGAGAACCGAGCTGAAGCACGACGCCATCTGGGTGGTGGTGGATAGGTTGACGAAGTCTGCGCACTTCATACCGTTTCGTGCGACGTATTCTCAGAAGATTCTGTCAGAATTGTACCTGGAGCATGTCGTGAGGCTACACGGGGTGCCACTGTCTATCATGTCTGATCGTGATATGCGTTTCAATGCAAGGTATTGGAGGAGTTTCCAGGAAGCCATGAGAACAGACTTGAACTTCAGCACAGCATTTCACCCTCAGACTGATGGGCAATCTGAAAGGGTAATTCAGGTTCTGGAGGATATGCTTCGTGCTTGTATTCTGGAATTTGGTGGGAACTGGAAGAAATACCTGCATCTAGCTGAGTTTGCTTATAACAACAACTATCAGGCCAGTATTAGAATGGCACCGTTTGAAGCTCTGTATGGTCTTCCTTGTAAGTCACCTGTGTGTTGGTTGGAACCAGAGGATCGATTGAGCACTGGACCGGAAGTCATTCAAGAGAATAATGAGAAGATAGCTGTGATTCGGGAATGACTATTGACAGCTCAAAGTCGTCAGAAGAGTTATGTTGACAGAAGGCGTAGGCCTTTGGAATTCCAGGAAGGTGACTTTGTTTTGCTAAAGGTTTCCCCACGCAAGGGAGTCGTTCGGTTTGGTGTGAAAGGGAAACTTGCACCAAGGTATGTGGGACCATTCCGGATCGTGCAACGAATCGGAGTAGTGGCTTATCAGTTAGCCTTACCGCCTGAATTATCTCACGTGCATGACGTGTTTCATGTCTCCATGCTTCAGAAATGTCAACTTGAGCCGGAAACAGTAGTGCAGTGGTTTGACGTTCCAATACAGTATGACGCGTCGTACGAGGATGCACCTGTTCAAATTCTTGATCGGAAG